ATATGTACATATATATACATATATATATATATATATATATATATATATATATATAAGTAATCTGCGTGGTTGGCTTAAACCAGATCATGTATACAAGAGTGCTCAATGCAGTATATAGAAGAGCAGATAGACAAATAAAACATGTAACACTGGGTTAAAGACTCAACATTTTATTGCACTACAGGCTATTTCATGAGGGGTACCTCAATCATCAGGTGCTAGGCTCTGAGTGAAGGAATAATGAAGTACATAGATTGTGACAGTTTATCAGAACAAAAGTATGTTAATTACCAAGTGATTAAGTCTCTATTGTTTAGATGGATATATCGTAACAAGAACTTGCGTCTATGTCTACATGAACTGAATAATTCGTTCCTTTGATTTAGAGTACAAATTTCGGGTTGACATATAATAAAATACTTCTCTTGTATACAAAGGTTACATATATATACATATATATATGTATATATGTATATATGTATATACGTATATGTATATACGTATATACGTGTATATATATATATATGTATATATATATATATATATATGTATTATATGTATACGTATACGCGTATACGTATACATGTATACGTATATATATATATACATATATATATATATACACATATATATATACATATATATATATACACATATATATATATATACACATATACATACATCAATATCTGACGTCAGCCAAGAAGTTATTTAGCCTTTCTCAAACAAAGCTGCAACTAACAAAGAAAGCCAAATGATATATGTAATTATAATGCGCCTTTGGAAAAATATAGTTCTTCACAATGAAATACTTCTATGCAACAAATTCCATTCACTCACCAAACTGTCTACTTATATCATAAACATCTACATAAATATCTTCATAATTACAGTACAAAATATTTCAAAAAGTTACGTACACAACAAACCTTACAACAACCATATTTCCTTTAATATCACTGTACACGACATCACACCTTTCCTAAATCTTAAGTGAACATAACAAAAAAGGTCTATGATGATGCATACAACTAACTATAACTTTAAATGTTTTTCTTTATGCTCAATACACATAACAACACTCAACACAACCTCCACCCACCGACAGCACTTAAACATTGCCAGCTATTGTCAAGTGGGCTATTGCATCATTGATGCTCTCGTTTTCACTTTAAAAGCTCAGGATTTCTTGCAAATATGTTTACTGGTACAACAAAAACATATTTCTTTTAATATAAATTCCATGAATGACTTTTTATATGTGTCCCTAACTACCGATTTAATTGTGAACATCGGTATAATGGGGGCAGATTTAGCACAAAAAAATAACAAACAAAAAAACTTCCCTCTGTCATCAGTTTTTTCTTTGATAGGGTGATAAACTAATATTTTTTTTTATGGGGCCTAAACCTGGCAGATAAACACTACAACAAGGATATCAGCCGGGAAAATGATGTGTGGGAGGAAATATATATAATTCTTATATCAAACGTAAGCCTGAGATTAAACTTGCCCTGGTCATTACTAGGCTCTATGAAAGGAACATGTTTTGGCAGGGTCTACTCTCAACGTGTCATCATAAAATATATAAATAGTGTAGCTTAATATGAATAACAAATTGTAGTTATTGAAACAGTGGATGAACAATGCAAATTATAAATTACGTACCCAAATTATTTATACAGGTAACAATAATTGATAAAATTAATAATTTTATAATATTTATCATTGTTCCCTTAAACCCTAATTAGCCAGCTGTACACATTATACTTACTAGTAATTAATCACACAAGAGCAGTACAATATTTTAGCAATTTAAACAATTCAAACAGACTCCAACTCATTGAAAAACTGAAAGAGAAACAATGAATATTTTTTAAACTATGGACCTTGGAATTATTTTTTGAGAACTAATAATAAATTTTAAAAACTTTATAGGCATACAAACTTTACAAATTAACAATTTACTATAAGCAGAATTTTTATTATTTTGTTTCAGAAGTATTGGAAACTTATCGATAGATGATGAGACAATGCGAACACCTACTGCATAACATTGAAGTCGCAGTAGTGGAAGGTGAAAGAGTTGCAGAAGAAGAACCAACAGTTGCTGGTAAAGTAGAGGGAACCCACAAAAGAGAAAAATTCCCCCAAGTACACCACTAAAATTAAAATGGTGAAAACCAAAGATGTAAATTCTAAAATAATGAAGTACAGTATTTGACAGCAAAGAAGGAAAAAGATCCATTGGCCAGTTTTTTTGAGTCTATAAAACAAACTGTGTACAGACTTCCCAAGTCCAAGTCAAAAAAAAAATAGTAATGTTTAATTTCATTCATTTCTTAGGCACGAGTGCCAAGAATATGCCAATAAGTGAACTTAATCGCTATCCTACATGGCATATCTATTAAACGACCGGACTGAATGATGCAGTACACCGGGGTAACCCCTACTCTTCTCTGAGGATGTACTGAGTTCTTTAAAGTGCACACGAGCCAAATGTGTACGTCGGGCCTACGCTTTAAAGTCCTTATCCGAGAAGACTTGTTCCACCACAGGAACCATTGGCTTGAATAATAATAATATATGGATTATAATATTTTAATTACATTTCCAAATTTGAATTCCACATAGTGTGCTAAGTCTGGTTTAAGACGAGAAAAATTTGTATATAAATGTGAAAATGTGAATAAATAAAAGAATCTTGTACAATGTCAAAGTTGTTGTTTGTATGCTTACTCTGATTTTGATTTAGTTATTTTAATTAAAAATGTACTGTTCCTCACAAATGGTTGTATTTTTAATTTTCCCATCCCAGCATGTTTTCTTTCTACTACCTGCAAACGATGAAACTGTGTCACACCCTGTCAAGCTATGAAATAGATGAAGAGCTGTTGCCTTATACTGCCCAAGATTTGATGCAATTATGTGTGCCCCTATGTAGTTGAATGTCTTTCCTGTACCAAAGGCAATTACAGATACTGCCAGCACCACTACATCGGTGTTGACTGATCGTATGATAATTTTCTTGTATCCTTGTGCTACACAGTCAGTACCATAATGCGGGTATCTGCTTCTTCATGTGAGAATGGTGCTAAATTAGATGTATCTTTTTCAACTCGCGTGCATTCTACACTAGTGTCAAAATTTGAAACCAACTCTTTTCCCTCAGGTGGTGTTTTCTTGCCGATATGTTCAGCTAAGAAATTGAAGAGCTCTTCTTTGTTGGATTCAACCTGGAGAAATGCCAGTTTTGTGGCAATGGTGTTGTTGCCATAACACGTCTGCGTTGTTCAGTCCCCCTTCTTTCCCGAGTCCCTCGCTTGAGGCTGTTCTGAATGTACCTTTCCCATACTATATCCAGCCTACTGACAGTGTGTAGACGTCGTCGGATATAGGGCATAAATACAAACATTGCATAGTCATTAAATTTGGTCCTCACAGCTTTAGATGGTAGCATGTGTACGATAGCTGCTCCGTCTAACACATCAGCATCCACAATAGGGTCGGATTCAGGAACAACCGGCGATTGGTGGTGTTTTGTTGTGAGTAGACACCCCACAAGATCTGATGTTGTGCAGTGTCGCAGATGTCCCATGTTTGACAGTGATGGAGGAAAAGCCTGATTTTCATGCGCAAAGAACTCTGTCTGGTTGCTGGTGCGTGACTGGCATTAAATGTAGAGTCGAGAGAACAAAGCACAGTCTATCTTCAGTGAGGCTACCTGATGTTTGCTTTTGCTTTGGACCTTCTTTGATGTTGTTCGAATATTGAACATTTGTTTTTTGATATTGTGTCTGTTAGCGGTTTGTCACATTTTACAAGTCGCTCCTGCACAAATGTGTTATACTGAGCCTTTCCAACTGCTTCTACTGTTGTCAAGACTAACAAGTTAATTTTCCCCGTCATCCATGAACGGATTATTATTATTTCGAAATATTTCAGTAAGTGTACAGACATCTTTCTTAAATTCTGTCTGTACGCTAACTGACTGTTCGTGATGTTTTGCATATTGATGGTCAGTGTGCTCATAAAACTCATTAATTAGCCTTGCAATTTCTGAACCAGCAATTATCCACCTGAGAAGAGTAGCCGGATTTTCAGTCAACCCTACAGCCCCTCCATCACCCTTTATAATATAATTAAGCTGTTCATTATTTTGATCTAAGGCCATTGATGAAAATGGATGTGTTGTCTTCTGTACTGTGAAGTGACCTTCTGAGAACTGATGGTAAATACTTTGATGTGTATCTTTTAGCTGGATCATATCTCCGATATGTACAGGAACCCACCTTCCATAGTGTGTACGATCCATGGCAAAAAACCATGGGACTATCTTTCAAAGGGTTTCTAAATGCAGTTGAAAGTTGCCTTCTCTCATCTATCTCACAAACTGCATAAGCAATAGCTCGAGAGAGAGAGTGTCATACTCCAGTACAAAAACTGTGGGTGAGCCTCTGACTGTTTTCTGTACCATTCACCAAAAGCGGCTTGGATATCATCAGCAGAAAGCATGTCAAGATACTCTCGGTATGCAGCTCTCTGTAAGACATCGAGACTTGCAGCTGTTACCATCTTGTCCTTGTTACATGGCCACCCTCTTGCATGGAGTTTGCCCTACCTGAAGTTGTGACGTTGGCTTGCACCAGAACACTGGACCATCCACTCCCCTCAAGCCACTCACCAAGTAAATGACATCTCGATGTGCAAACCGCCAAGTATAACAACAAATTGGTCTTCTCCATATTCGTCAGGCCACCGCCATTGTATCTGTTTGGCAAGAGCATACAAAGTTTGATCCACAGTGAAAACTAGAACCTGACCTGGATGAAGATGTTGTATGCCATGCTTCATCAGATTCATAGAATGGCGAATCATGGCGACAGTATGTGCCTGTTCATGGAAGAGAGGCAGTAAGGCACTGATGCATTTTGGACGGACAGACGTTGTTGTTGCAGAGCACTGCATGATAACCCGCCCATGATATGTATTTATCTACAGGCATCTGCTCTTGGTCGAGTAAAATCTCTACATTGTCTAACCATTTATTTTCTCTATTCAATGCATTAATGGCTGAAGTGGTGCTAGGGGCCACCTCACCGTCTACTTTTGGCACAAAATACTCTGTGGTATTAATACCAGCTGGTGGGACTTCTGTATACGTTGGTGGTAAAGAGCGTATACTTGTAGAACATGTAGTGTTGTCATAGGTACTTGTTATAACTCTCTGCTCTCCTTGAACAGTCATTGTTGGGTGTTGTGTCACAGATATGGCTGTTCCATGGAAACTATCCTTTTATGATATGGAGCTTGGGTTGTGGTCAATGTTATCCATTGCATCCGTTGTAAACAGGCCCGATTTGAGGTGTGGTGGGCACACCAAATTTTGTTTATGGTACAAGTTGCTGACTCTATTGCCCAATTTGGTTGATATTGTTAAAAGTCGTTTGTATCCTATGCACATGCCATGTGAATGCAGATTGTCAATTAGTGCCTTACTCCTTCTCTGTGCATGGATCACAAGGCTTAAATAAATCGTAAATGGTGTCTCCCTGCCCCTCGAATCACGAATCACCCGTGATTTCGCTCCTTTTCGCTAGTGCTCGACATTGTTGAACATCAGCAGTTGTACAATTGTGAGGCCAACACAATTACTTCATACTCAATTTGGTCTTTTATGTTTGGCCCTTCTAAAATCATATTGACTAATGCTTTCAGTTTTTCTGGTACAGAGTTTTCCTGGCATTTTCCTGAAACAGAACCACTGAAGTTGTATTTCTTCTCAAACATGTCTCTCCTTACAATCTTAGCATCTTTTGAGAGGATTATAGCATCTGATTTTTAACATTTTGGTTGCATGCACTCATTATTCCTTCTCCATGTCTTCTTCAAACATCAGCAACACATGTTTTCCCTCTGAATGCGCTTTTAGCCTGGCACCATCCTCAAGAGCAATTCCTTTAGCCTTGTGCTATTCGGTCGACTGTTCATGCTAGCACCCATTTGTATCATTCTATTTGAAAACAATGCCAACAAATCAGCCAGTGTTTCGTGTGGGAACGAAATGAGCACCCTCTCTTGTTAGCTGTCTCACATTTTTGTGGTTTTCTTTTCGCGCTCCGATAAGACACAGCAAATTATTTTTCGTAGCGAGAGAAGCGTTCGATAATTCTGTAGTGTAATTTAGTTATTTGAGAAAGTTAACACGGTTGTTCTATGAGTATTGAGCAGTTCAACCGGTAAGTTAAACATCATTGTATTAAACTCCATTGTAAAACGGATCATAATTTATCGTAAAACATCGGTAATTAATTATTAAATAAGATCGTGAAACTGAGATTGATATAGTCGCTATTGTTACCGAGTTTCCGAAGTTATATTAGGAATTACGAATTAACAATCATTAAAATTATAGTTATGCTTATAATTGTAGCATCGTATTAGTCATATGATGAATCATCATGCAAGCGAAGCGTGTTTTAATTGTATCATGGACAGAAACGTTAATGATTATTAGTATTTATTAGAACTATTTGTTTGATTGCGTATTAATTTACTTTAATTTGTGGTACAGTATTTTAAGAGTCTAGTGCATTTTATATATGCGGAGTGATATATTTGCAGTGGTATGAGGCTTATTTGGGACTCGCATTTTAAGTTAGTGTAAGCTACAGTATATTATAATTAAGTTGATCCCTGAAAGTGTTTTATCTCTAGTGGTTAGAACTTTTGACCAGAGTAACCATGGTTATACCATGTAATACAATAGAGCGGCTGTATTGCTATGATTTGAGAATCGCATTATTTCGGGTTTTGTTCATGAAGGTCTACGAAAGGAATACAGTAATAATATGTTTAAATTACTTTAGGTATTTTTCTTTGAGTTTGATCGATACATATGGCATAATTCAAATAAATATTATCATTATTATTACTTAATAATATAAGAGAAACACTGCTATTTTCAACATTATTTGATAATGCTTTGTATTTGTCATTAGGTTAATTGATATTTCGACATTCAGGCTGTCATCTGAGTAGAGTATACCGAGTTGAGGTGAGCTGTAATTTGAATCTTGGATGTCGAAAAGTGTGAGTTTAAGTACTGATTATATGAGTTAAAAGTATTGAGAATTAAATAATTATAATTACCTAATCTATATTATCGCGTTAAAAAGTTTGAGCATCTTGGGTTATGTAGTTTCTTGTATTTTGTATTCGATAGGTTCGAACGATCTGTTGGGACACAATAAACTTTCAGATCAAACATAACAGCTTTTGAGTTTTTGTCAGCTTGAATACCGAAACATTCGAACACTGACACACCGAGATGGATGATGCGCAGAGGCAAAGGAGGAGAGACGACCGAAGCTTCAAAGCTAAGGCAGAGGAGTTGAAAACATCGATCCAGGCAGAACACCCGCCAGAGTTGTTGAAGGATCTATATAAAGAGTTTGAGGAAACTTTCAAAAATTTGAAAGTGATACATAGAAAATATTAGACCTGACAGACCAGGATAAAGAAGAAGATGAGGATAAGTGGATGCAACCACGTAGAGAACTCCATAGTGGTATCCGGTTACTTCTTTACCAACATAAGCAAAAAGATGAACTTTCAGCAAAGGAGTCTCAGGACGACCAAGAAGGAAGTACAAAAAAATCTGAATTGCATAAAATAGAATTAAAGAAAATGGAGCTACC